AGGTGTTGACTACATTCTCCTTCTTGGTTTTGGCCTTCGTTGGGTGTCTGAGTAGATGGCAACCCTCAGAGTAGCTAGCCAGAGGCTATACCAGGACGCTACTCCTGCAATATTTTCTAAAATTGTTCCAAGATGAAAAATAAAAACACAAAAGTAAATAGAAAGCAGATAAATGATTGCTGGTGTGGAAGGGCAGAGAGCGGGGCTGCTGCACAGGAGTGGGGGACAGGGCAGAGAGCGGGGCTGCGGAGGATGGCTCTTCCAGCAGATGTTGGGGGGCAGGGGAGATGCAATGCCAGCCTGTGAGCCAGCACCAGAACAGATAAAAGAAGAGGCTATATAACGACCTTTCCTCTTTGGGAATACCCTAAAAGTGACTGGTCTTGTGGGATCTGACAGGAAATGGGGAAATCCATATGCCTCATGGGCAAGGAAGAAAGCTAGGATGAACCCACAAGGACACCAGGGAAGCCTGGGAAGTAAGGGGCCATTGTGTGTCCTCTTCCTTGAAGACACTCAGGATCATGGCAGCTCTGTGTAACGGAATCAGTATCTCCAAGAAGGGATTCTAACCCTCATGGGCAGCCTTAGAAATCAAGAGCCCCTCTCTCTCTCTCTCTCTCTCTCTCTCTCTCTCTCTCTCTCTCTCTCTCTCTCGTGTGTGTGTGATGTGCATGTTGGGTATGCATGTCTACAAATGTTTGCACACAATCACATGCATCCATACCCATGAAAAATAGGATGTCAGTTCTCTTCCTCAGTGTTCCACTCTATTCCCTTGAGGAATGGTCTCTCACTGAACCTAGAGCTCACTTAATTTTTACTAGACTGACTGGCCGGTGAACTCAAGCCAACTTCCTCTCTCCACTACCACCACCACCACCACCACTAATTGCATTTACAGAAACACCAAACCATATCTGGCTTTTCACATAGGTTCTGGGCATCCAAACTCAGATTGATTGATTGATTGATTGATTGATTGATTGATTTTGGTTTTTCGAAACAGGGTTTCTCTGTGGCTTTGGAGCCTGTCCCGGAACTAGCTCTTGTAGACCAGGCTGGCCTTGAACTCACAGAGCTCCTCCTGCCTCTGCCTCCCAAGTGCTGGGATTAAAAACGTGTGCCACCACCACCTAGCCCAAACTCAGATTTTTAAGTGCACTTAACTCACCAAACCTCCTCTTCAGTCTTCTGCTTTTCTGGTGATTAGACAGCCAGAGCAGAGACAGTCCCCGCCCTCACACACACACACACACACACACACACACACACAATCCCCGCCCTCACACACATAGCCATCTCTCATCCTGCCCGCCTAGGCCTGTTCTCTAGGATTCCAGTCTCAGGGCTGGACGTGCACCCTCTCCAGGCCTCCGCTGCCTATCTGGACAGTGACCTCGGGGTCCAGGGACAACGATGGTGAGAAGCGGGCAAGCCCAGTGGATCCCATCCATGGGAAATACACGGATGAGGCCTATCTACAGTAACAGTGAGATTGGCAGATTAGCAGTTGCAGGCTTGAGGAAAGGGGAGTGAGAAATGCTGAGTGCAAGTTTCCTTACATAGTGATTGAATATTCTGGAACTAGACAGAGATCATAGCTGCCCAGCATTGGGATATTCTAAATGTCACTAAATGGTGAGCTTAAAAATGCCTAAAGGATTAAACTTTAAGTGGGGTGAGCAGGTTTTGCTTATTCATGGAGTCTCACTACGTAGTCCAGGCTGGCCTTGAACTAGTGATAAAAAGTGCTTATGCCAAGGTAGCTAACCCTGATTATTGTATTAGATAGGTTTTACTGCCTTTTTAAAGGTTCTCTAATTCCTTAGCACCCATATTTTAAAAAGAACACCTAGCTACTTGGTGAATTCCCAGCTAAGGGACATGCCGAAAGAAAGGAAGGACAATGCCTAAGGAATTACAGCCAAGGTTCCCTCTGTCCTCCACATGTGTGTCCACACATGTGCACATACACATGTATACACACACACACACATCGAAAAGCTGGCTCTCAAACACACATCTACCTACCCAACACCTGGGAGGCAGAAGAACAAAGATTCTGAGTTCCAGGTCATTCTGTGCTCCAGGGGAAGATCACACCCCAGAATCCCACAAAAACAGGCTAGGGATATAGCTCAAGTAGAGCTCTTGCCTGGCATGTGAGGGTTGGTACTGTGTTCAGTTCTTGGTACCACAAATAGACAAGGTTCTTTAGGAGACATCCTGGAAATGACAGCATCTCAGTCTCTCTACCACTCAGAGTCTCTCTGTTTCCTCAGCTGTAGGATGTGGCTGGCCTTGAACTGCAATTGGCAGTCCCTAGCAACGGCCAGGCAGAGGATACCGTGGCCCCCAGGGCATGACACAGCATGACACAGCGGACTCCCACGGCACAGGCTCTGTAGATGTGGGAGCTCCATAGCTAGAACTCAGCAAGCATCCACACTCCCCAAGGCCACAGACATGCCCCATATGGTGTTTGTGCAAGCGGCCTGTCCCTGGTGCTCTCACTCCTGCTAACACGTTGGGCCATGGCGGATCATATTTTCGGCTCTGGGAGCCTGGTCTGAGCAGTTGGGTACTCTAAATTTAATTCTGCAGGTAATTTGAACGATGCTATCTAATTTCAAATGTCCCCACTCTTATGAGTGCACAAGCAGCATAATTTTTAATTAGTGGGTAAACAGTAAATACTGAACGGCAGTAAAGTGGACAGCACTGTTAATTAAAAATCCATGGTTGATAAAAATCAATTTGGTCCTTACATTCAGGTCCCTGCAAAGAGTTGTATGACCCAGCCATGGCCCCATCTGCCAGCAGGGGTTCATCTAGTTAAGACTTTCCTGAGGGGAGAGAAAGAAAGCCAGGAGAAGAAAGAAAAGAAAATCGAGGTCTGTCCCAAAGCTGTGAGGGGCAACACCATGAAGAGACTAACTATTAAGTTGGATTGTTGTTGAATTTAAAAAAAAAAAAAAAAGACAACCTTTACATTGAGGCTATGGGAAGACAGCAAGGCTGGGCCCTCCGGCTTTCTTTAAGATCTTCACCGTGCTGAGGTGTGTGTGTGTGTGTGTGTGTGTGTGTGTGTGTGTGTGTGTGTGTGTTTGTGTTCTGAAGACAAAGAGGCCTGACTGTATCTCACAGTCTCCTAATGAAATTAAATCCTAATTTCTCATAGAAAAACAACATAAACAAAAACACACTTAGGGAGAAATAACACCTGAGGCTTCTTGACAGAGCGTGACATCTCTTCTCGGTGCCTTCAGGGATGGGGCTCAGGAAACAAAAAGATGACTTCCCTCCCAACAGAGAGACCATCTCTTCAAGAACCAGAGATTCATGTAGACAACAACACTCTCATTTTCAGAGCCCGGGTGTTGTTTCACTGCGAAATGTGAGCTCTATTTCCCAACCAGGCAAATAAGGCTGACCCCTCCTGATTCTTCTTTGCTTCCATCTGTTCGCCAAATCAACACTTTGCGACAGGTTTCATTGACACCGGTGATTTCAAATTAACCTGCAGAATCGAATCTGGAGAATCCAGCAGCTTCGGACCACAACGGTGGCTCCAGACTGTGTTCAGGTTGACAGCTAGGGAGAATCTGTCTCAGTTCTGGGCGCGTGGGCTCAACGTGGACACCCACGCGCCCACCACAGTGATGTGGCTCAAGTTCCTTTGTCTTATTGACATTGCACTAGATTAATTCTGAAAAACGCACCGTCTATCTTGCGAGTCTTCCATTAGCCTTGCTCCCCCAGTGACCAACGGTGATGTCGTAGACATGTTGCCCTAGTTAGCTATTGAAATCTGTTTCTCCTACTTGTCTGACCATGATCAACAGATCCATTGACCAGTGGGGCCAAGGACCACTCTGCACATGTGGGTCCTATACTCTGTGTCTCCAAATTGTTCCCATTGTTCTCAGTGGTGACCCAAACGAGCGATAGTCAGTCTGTCAGGCTTGAATCCGGCCACCCTAGGCTCTAGCTCTTGCTTTTCTTGCCGAGTGCTACAAACCGAGCCACAACCAACTCCTGGGGTGGCTGCAAAGATCGCGTATCCTAGAATATGCTTGCTATGAAGCCTCCTGGGTTCCTGACTTGACTAAGGACACTGTCATCACCAGGTACACCTCTCATCCAGTCACAGGGCCCCCAAGGACTCTAGAGATGACGCCAGATGCCAGGAATGCAAGTTTTCCTGAGACTGCTGGGAACAGAGAGTCTTGGGTCTAAGTGTGAACCAGATAGAGCTCCAACAGGCAAAACGGGCTTTCCCTGGCCTCCCATCAAGCCCAGCTGGGAACCTGTGAATGGGCAGTGGGGAACAGATGGGAATACACCATGGGAGAGTTTCTCCACTCCATCCATAGCCTTCCCTGGAGGCCCTGGCTGGCTAGAGCTCTCTGAGTCCCTCCGGACCCACTGCAGCCCCAGGCTCAGTGGGAAGGGCTGGGTTGGAAAGCCTGCTACAGTGGCCAGCAGTCGGGGTCAGGGGCCACGATGACGACAGTCAGTGCTGTAAAACTTGGACGCTGCTCACACTAGCATTCTGCCGTCTGGGCTGTGTCAGCTGTCCTGAGTGGGGCGACAGCTCGAGGCGATTGCAGTTCTTTAGCGGCTGCAGATTTTGCTACTCCGTTCTGAGCAGCAGCTGGGAGCTGAGGAAAGCTGTCCCACGCCCTTGCCAGGCTCTCCTGGGCTTAGGGAAGAGAGCCAGGCAGGATGTGGTCTATGTGGCTGATCTCTTGCTCAGCTCTAGGTACCCACCAGGTACTCGGTGAGCACTGGCTGAGTGCTGTGTGTTGGACTCTGGTAATGTGTCTCATGTACAGGGGAGGGGACAGTGGCAAGCCTGCTGGATGCAGTCAACAAACATCTGGGTGCTCTTGGGCCTGAGGTGAACTGGGTGCAGCCTGCCTGAGCTGCTGGCATGCGGAGAGCAGGACCCATGAAGCCTGTGGAGCTCTGACTGGGGTCTTTCTCCTTTGCAGCTAGCATCATAGAAACAGTTGGAATTTCAAGAGGTGGCCATCTATACTGGGAGCCCCAGTGCCAGCAGCCAGTGCCTAAGGGTATGTCCACCACTGTGGTCCTGCCCCCACACCTCAGAGGAACCTGGATCTCCACTAGGTGAGACTCCCCTAAGCTCCCAACCCTACACTCCTGGGCTGCGAGATGATTGCAGGCATCGACCTTTATGAAGCTGGGGCAATGCTCCCAGTTCCCCAGAAGCTGCCGGCAAAACTCAAGGCTTGCTTTCTCCCCTATGGGGGTGGCATCTGGAGCAGGGAACAGCCAGGCTTCACATCCAACCAATGCAGTTAAGCTGAACGATACACACGATACACACGTGGAAACCCGTGACAGACACCCAAGCTTCCCTCTTGTGCGCTGGCGCATGGGGTGCAGTCAGACGTGCTAAACAGGCACACAGGGAAGTGTGTAATGTAGTTTTGCCACAGCAGTGAACTGCCAAGCAAAACTCCATGGCGTGGCAACATGTCCTAGAAGGTTCCTGGAGATGGTGGCATCTGCAGAGAAGCCCCATTCTTGGATCCGCAGGAAGAGTCAGGCACGGGGCACAACTTGGTACAAAGAAGACAGGAAGTAACTGGCCGGAGAGAGTCTGAGTCCCCACCCAGTTCTCCTAGCAGGGCTGCTCTGTGCCCCTCATTTCTGGCAGCCATATGGTCACTCTTCCTCCCAGGGTGGGAGCTGAAGGGGAGTTCTGGCTTCCCTCAGTTACCCCCTCAGGTCTCCCCAGTCCACTCCATCGTGGGGTCAAGGACTGGATTTTCCATGTCCCCTGCTTGCCTCCTGAGCTCATGGAGAAATCTGCTTGCCAAACATCTGCTAGCGCTTTGGGTGCTGGGAGGGGGCAGGACTGAGGCTCTCAGAATTGCTTCTAGCACTTTTCCCAGGCTCTGGGGCTGCAGCCTTACCTCATTCATCCAACTGGGACCTAGGCAGCTCCTGGCAGGGTCACTGAGTGCACACAGGGGAATGCTGAGCTGTGCTGCTCCTGCCTCCAGCAGCAACACTCTGGAGCAGTTCTAAGAAACTTCTAGAACTTTCTTCCTAGAAAGTCCTCTCTATACTCGTTGCTTTCTGAGAGGCGGCAGAAAAGGGTCAGTAGTCTGGGACTATGAGGTAACACCCTGCATGCCCTGGGAAAGCAGTTTTGTACTGTAATCCCCGTCTGAGGTCCGTGGGTGCGCAGGCTGCCTGTCCTCACTCTAGTCACGGCCTGGCCTATTCACCACTTACTGTTTCTTTCAGACCAACTCACTTCTATTTACTTAAACACATTCATGCATTTTTACAGCCTTATTGGGGTATAATTGGCATACAGTAAACAGCACATATTTATAGGGTAATATAATTATTTTTTAAAGATGCCTACCATTGCTCTGGATGCAGAGAACAGCCACTCGCCATAAATAAGAAGTAACTGTGAAGAGATTCAGTGGAACAAAACCACATAATTGGGTTCTCTTTAGATTCACAGCCCATCTCAGGCTCAGCGTCTGCTCTCTCTGGGAGACAAGGAAGCTGCGGCTTAAGACTCATTAGGTCTCAGCCAAGGCCTTCTCCTTCATGTTAGCAGAAAGCCTGGAGGAAAAAAATGAGCTCCTTCTGGCTGGATGATACCAACCTAAGTACAAGATATATATTAATCCAGGTGGGCACCAGGGAATGAGGGGCGTCCTCCAACACCCACCACAATGAGCCCTCCACAGGGATGCTCTACTCTTGGCCACGACCATGGGGTCAGGAGCCACTCCTTTGCCTTCTATATACCCTCGGACCTGTTTACATTATTAAAAGACTAGATCCTGAAGGCCAGGTCAGTTGACCACCTCTGTGTACAGGAATGCGTGCGTGTGTCTACAGTGGTACAGGTAGGTGTCTTCCTCAATTCTTCAATTGTTCTCCACCTTATTTTTTTAAGGTAGTGTCTCTCACTGGGACCTGGGAGTCTCCATCAATCCTTAGAGATCCTCCTGTCTCTACCTCCCCAGAGCAAGGATTATAGGCAGCTACCACACGTGCTATTATTGTTTGGCTACTAGAGCTCCAACTCGGAGGGCATCACGCTCGTGTGAAACACTCTTCCCACTGAGCTATCCTCCGGGTCTTGCTTGGGGGCAGTCATCTTCCCTGATGGCGATGCTGAGTGGTCACAATAGATTCCCCATCACCCTTCAACCCACAAAGTGTGTGTTGTCCACGGTCCAGCCCCTTTATGGAAACAGCTCTCTATTGTGTAATAAAGCAGTGGAAGAAAACAGCTCACTGGAGGGGAGACACTTGAGAAATGTCCCTCTGTACTCCTTCTTCTACCCCCTTCACTCAACAAGAAGTCCAGGACAGAGCAAGGGGGTGCTGGATCTTGGTGGGGAAGAAGCCAGGGTTCCTGGGAAACTAAGAGTCCATTGAGTGGTAGATGGTAGGAACAGCCCCAGTTAGGACCATGAGGTTGACCAGAAGGAGACTGGAGAGCTTTTATGAGGATCACAAGATTAAGAAGGCCCCCAACTGGGGAAACAGACCATAGGGCTCAGGCCCGCGTGACGGAGGTTGGAAACAAGGGAGCCCAGGCCAGAGGGAAGGGGACACCCAGGTAGGTTTTCATTTCTCCATCCAAAACTCATCTCTTCCCAGCAGCTGCGAGGTACGTCCAGGGCCAGAATTCCTCACCCGCTCCTACACCTTCTATTCCAACCGTCTCTTCCGAGCCTATCAGTTCTACTACAGGGACCCCTCCTGCCAGGAGCCTGCCCACTCACTGCTCATCAAGGGCAAAGTCCATCTGCGCCGGGCCTCCTGGATCACCCAGGGTGCCACCGAGGCCGACTACCATCTTCACAAGGTGGGCATGGTCTTCCACAGCCACCATGCCCTTCTCAACATTGTCAGGCTCCTCAACCAGACCCAGGCTGGCCAGGACTGTACAGGACGGCTGCCCCCAGACAGGGCCTGGCTGCCAGGGACACTGTATGAGCTGCTGAGCTCCCCGGTACCAGGTGACTGCATGGCCGCACTGGGCTTCAGCATGCATGAACTCAGTCTGCTCCGCCTGCAGTATCACATGCAACAGCTGCCTGGGGAGGCACCCCATCTAGTCAAGGAGTTGTTCCTTGGGGACATCCACACCGACTGGGCAGAGAGGCAGCACTACCGTCCCACTGGCTACCAGTGCCCCCTGCAAAGTGTTCTGGTGAGTATGGGCCCCTCTGGGTGTGTTCTGGTGTCTAGTTTGGCAGGTCCTTTACAATCTGGTCCAGCTAAGGGTCTCTGCCCAACTCTCCTCACTGCCCTCACCTCTGGTCAGCTCACCTCGGGACATTGGCACATTCTATTACATTTTATCTTTATAATCTTCTGTATATATTATATACAGCAGATTATATCCTCTCCTTGGGCCATCTTTCCCCAGCTTTTGCAAGGCTAGATGGTATTTTGTAGAGAACAACACAATTCACCCTCCCTCACCTAGTCATTCTCAGCATACGTCTTCTAGATTTGGTCTTCACAATTCTTGTAAGGCTCCATACCTTTCCCTGCAGGGCACAGTGGTTCTAGCTGGTTGTTCCCTCCTTGGTTCTCATTTCCTGGTCCTTCTCTCCCACCTCCCCACTCTACACACCTCCCAACACCCAGGACACACTGCCGGTAGGGAGCCCACCTGTTCCCTCCTCACGTGGGCAACATTAGGCACCCCATCAAAAGAGGTCTGAGGCTTCACCCAGCATGGGGTCTGGCATCTGGCTACAGGCAGCCTAACGTCGGCACATGCACTGAGACAGTCTGCTGAGGCTGCGGTACCCTCTTAATGACCTCCTTCAGGAGCTCGGGGGGCTTCCTGCTGACCAGGGAATAAACCGCCAGCGCATGTGTGCACACAAGCTGACACTGGAGCGTGCTGCACCAAAGCCCACGGATATTATGAAGTCGGTATAATGAACACAGGAGACCTTGGGACATGGGCCCTCACTCTGACTTCTTACAGCTCAGTGTGAACAACAGTGGGGTCCTTGGGGGAAACAAAGGACTCTGGGTTAGGACCTGGGCCTCTCTTAATGAGGGGATCTAGGGTGAGGCCTGCAGTCTTCATTTCTTTTTTTGTTTTGTTTTGTTTGCTTTTTTGGTTTTTCGAGACAGAGTTTCTCTGTGTAGCTTTGGAGCCTGTCCTGGATCACCCTGTAGACCAGGCTGGCCTCAAACTCACAGAGATCCGCCTGCCTCTGCCTCCCAAGTGCTGGGGTTAGAGGCGGGCACCACCACGGGGACTTGTGGATTTTGGGGTACTCTGACCAGTAACTGATAACGCATGAGCACACCTCCTCAGAAAAACGTTGAGAAAAAAAATTAAAGTCATAAAAGGCATTGGCTTTAAGTGGAAGCCAACCCCACTAAAACAGCCCGAGGAGGGGAAGCTGTGACATTCGATGGCTGAGAACAGGGTCTTCACCCTCAAGTGATGAGTGAAAACAATGTCCCCAGTGTCTAGCACACTGACAGTGGGATGGGGGTGACACACAGGAATAGTGGTGATGCTGGGACTCGCTGCTTGTTGTAAGTGGAGAAGGAAGAGGGTTAGGACTCTACATTAGGAACTTCTTACCAGTGAACTTCATACATATTTTCTGATAATCAAGTTGAGCACGGTAGCTCTCACATCTGTAACTCTAGCACTTTGAAGGCAGAGGCAGGGAGACTGCTTTGAGTTTGAGGCCAGTCTTAAAATCCAAAAACAAGAAGAAGAAGAAGAAGAAGAAGAAGAAGAAGAAGAAGAAGAAGAAGAAGAAGAAGAAGAAGAAGAAGAAGAAGAAGAAGAAGAAGAAGAAGAAGAAGAAGAAGAAGAAGAAGAAGAAGAAGAAGAAGAAGAAGAAGAAGAAGAAGAAGAAATAATCAAATCATGACAGGGAGGAATAAGTTCTGCCATCTTTATCAGTGCTATTTGAACTTAGCCATCCTCCCATCGTGTAGCATACATTGAGAGCCTACTGAATGCTGTACGCTCAAGAAGTCAAATGGGGCCACTTCTCATCTTTGGTAGCTACTGCTTGTCAGATTCCCAAGGGGTGGGTACTAGTGATGAGAGCTAGGCCACACCCATATGCCCACCCTACACTTTCCAGCTGCCCCCAAAACCCAGGATATGGGAGGCAGAGAAGGAACATGCCAAGGTTCTCCTGAAAGGAGCCTGCTTTGGTTTTTCAGGACAGAGTATCTCTGTGTAGTCCTGGCTGTCCTGGAACTCTCTCTGCAGACTGTAAACCAGGCTGGCATGGAATTTACAAAGATCTGCCTGTCTCTGCCTCCCAAGTGCTAGGATTAAAGGTATGTGCCACCACTGCCCAGTGCCCGGCTCCACAGGGTTCCTTTCAATTGACCTCAAAATCAATCCCTTTTGACAAGTGTCTATGATGCTCAGAACTCAGTCCTGAGGAGGAAGGCACACGTGGTGAGTAGATTACAGACCCCACCTCCTTGTTCCAGTGGACACCATGAGGGCTAACAGCCTCCTGTCTCCTGGGCGGAGCTCAGGGGCCACTATTACATCCCTTCCTTCCACCCCACCAGACCTAGTGGCCTACACAGGCTGGAAGAGTGATTGGGAAACAAGACGCATAGAAAGATGTCATTGCAGACCAGCGCCAGATGCACAGACATTAAATTAAAGGTCTGCTCAGCAACTCCCCTCTTGGGGAGGGGAGGAAGAGCGGTCGAGAGAAGGCAAGGCTGCTGCAGAACAGCTCCTCGCTGCTCTTCCTCACCTTCTGCTCTCAGGAGCCTGAGCTTTGCCTGCGACCCGAACCAGATGGTAAACACGAACATTTTTAGAGTTAATTTAAAACCAATTTGATGCCCAAATTTATTGCCTGGATATAGAATAGTAATCAATCAGCCCGTTCTCCACCGCAGTCATCCAGGCAGGCGTCGGCTCCGGAGCCTAATTAGAAACCAGTGCGGGCCATGGGGGAACCGGTTCGGCGAATAGGCTCACGTCACCATGAAGTTAGCAAGTGTGAGGTGGGGGCTTTGTCTATTAACACATGGGCCTCTGGTCTCTCTTGAGGGCACCCAGGAGGTGGTTCGTGGGGATGGAAGTTTTGTGTCACCTCCTTTAACTGACCCTGAGCGGGAAATGCCTTTTCTGTCCCCTCAACCACCTTCAGAACTCGGGAATGCCCCAAATGACCAGCCAGCCCCTGCAACGTCCCTCTGCGCAGGGGATGGTGCACGAGTCAGGCCATGAGTGTGTCTGCACGCGTGTGGCAGGAAAGAGCCACTCTGGGACTATTTCAATGCTGTGCATTTGGTGCTGTCAATACACATTAGTGTGAACATAGTTCAGAACGTGGGTTAAAAGGCCTAAATTAGAGGGAACTCTTATCAGCTGGCCTCCCAATTACTGACACTCCAGCTAACTGCCACTGCTTCCTCCATCACAAACAAGTCTGCCACCATTTACCAGGGTTTCAAAGTGCCTTCGCGTCCTCCAGGTCAGAATCCCCTGAACAGCTAGGCATGATAGTGCTTGCCTGTTATTTGAGCCCTTTGGAAGCCGAGGCAAAATGGATTGCCTGGAGTTTGAACCCAGCCTCGGCTATACAGCATGACTCTCTCTCGCGCGCGCACACAATAATAACAATAATAAGAATAATATCCAGAAATGAAACATGATATAGGATCATGTGTTGCAGAAATAGAAGTTCAGTTCCCTCAGAGGAATAAATATTAATAGTAAAGGCTTTGAAAGTGTGACAATCCAAACAAAAGAAAAAAAACCCTCCCCCTTGTCTCTTCTGCTTGGACCCCAGTCCCCAAGTTTCCCTCAGGGACAGCGGGAACAGAATTGTCAGCTGGCTCTCAGGTCAGTGCTGAACGGTGCCTGTTCCAAGGCCATCATAGGTAGAGAAGGTTCTGTGTTGACTTCTGGCAGCAACTCCCTTTAAGGAAAGAAGAAGAGGGAAGGGAAGGAGAGGGAGGGGGAGGGAGGGAGAGGGAGATGGGAGGTCATGCCTCATTCTTTCCTGGCCTCTACTAAGTATTTTCACTCTGAAATGTAGACCAATTAGATTTCACGTCTTTTTCCCGTTGTTGGGTCTTAATCATCTTAGCAAAGCCTAACCTGGGATTACTTCAAGTAATCCAAAACGGAGGGGGGGGGGGGAGTGCACACCTTGGGGCAGTGGGGGAAGGGTCTGTAAACCCCAGGACTCCAATGCAACTGGTTTTGTCTGTTACAATGATGCTGAAGGCTAGGCAGGGTGGTACATGCTCATAATCCCGGCACTTCAGGGACACAAGTCCTGTCCAAGCTAAAAAGCAAGTTCAAGGTTTGCTTGGGCTACATAGCATAAATGTATCTCAAACAAGGCCAGTGGGGAAGAGGGCTGGGGAGAAGCTCACTGTTTAATGCAATTGCAGAGGAAGGTCGAGGACTGGAATCTGGATCCCCAGATGTTACTTAAATGCTGGGCAGGTGTGGCAGCCTGCCTGTAATTTCAGTGTTCAGAAAGCAGAGGCAAGGGATGTCCAGGGCTAGCTGGCTAGGAAACTTAGTCCTATTGGCAAGCTCAGGTTCAACTGGGAGACTCTGTCTCATAGAATAAAGCGGTGTATGATAAGAGAAAGACCCCTTTGTCAACCTCCAGCCTTCACATGTGGCTGACACACAGGAACACACCTCCACACCCACGTTCCCCGCCCCTACACACACACACACACACACACACACACACACACACACACACACAACAGAAACCACCACAGTAGCCTTGGTCCTCCCCCTTGCAGAGGACGTGCTAACTGCAGTGAGGTTTGGGCACAAGTTCTGCAGGGCTGTGTTCAATGACGGACAACTGTGGCAAGCCACCTGGCCTCTGAGTTCCACTGCCTTTGGTTGAACAGTTGCAGGAGGGCTTCAACCTAGCCCCCAGCTGTTGTAAGAGAGGCCGTTTGTTTGTTTCCCAGCTGCCCAGCAGCTCAGACCTGAAATGGTCACACAGAAACTATATTATTTAAATCACTACTTGGCCCATTAGCTCTAACTTCTTATTGGCTAACTCCTATATCTTAATTTAACCCATTTCTAGTAATCTGTATATTGCCACGAGGCTGTTGGGCAGGGCCCCATGGCTTTTCTTGGACTCTGCTTCCTTTCTCCCAGCATTCAGCTTAGTTTTCCCCACCTAACTGAGTTCTACCTTACTATAGGCCAAGCCAGTTTCTTTATTCATCAACCAATAAAAGAAACACATAGACAGAAGGACCTGCCACACCAGCCAGCAAGTGAGGATGCTGCAGAAGTAAAGGGACATTGGTGGTGTGCCTTTGGCAAACGGGGCATGGACTTCTTCTAAATCTGGAGACCTAAGACCAAGCTGTGCTTCAGCCCACTCTCATTCATTCAACAGGAGTGTGTTTGCTGGGAGCCTAGGGTTGGGAGAAGTCAAGGCCACTGCCTAGAAAGTTTCTGCTACTTCCAGTCTAATGCGAAAGGGATAAAGGAAAGGGGGAGGGATATCTATGAGGAAGGGATGGGACAGGTCTTAAGCCTGCTTTATAAGTGCAAGCCTTTATTAGAGTGAGGACCAGAGGAAGAGGCCTTGGGCCTTCCTGGGGACATGTGCAGAGGCCCAGGAGGAAGGTTACCTGGTGTGGGATGTCCTTCTGTATACGTGTTGCTTTATTGGTTGATGAATAAAGCTGTTTTGGCCAATGGCTTAGTAAAGTCAGGCAGGAAATTCGAACAGAGATATAGAGAAAAATATAGATATAGGTGGAGTCAGAGAGATGCCATTTAGCTGCCAATGAAGAAAGACGCCAGCTGCCAGTCAGAACCTTATCAGTAGGCCACAGCCTATTAATAGAAATGGGTTAATTTAAAATGTAAGAGTAAACTAAAAATATGCCTAAGCTATAGGCCAAACAGTGTTGTAATTAATATAGTTTCCCTGTGATTATTTGTGTCTGGGAAGCAGAGAAACAAACAAGCAGTGTCAGCCTAAAGGTACCTTTTCTTCTAAACCCAAGTACACCAAGAGGCCCACCTGCTAGTGAATAGGAGGGCAAAGAGAGCTGAGCAACCAGGAAAGGGGGTCTCAGGCCCTGCACTGTGAGTCCATTCTAGTTGCAAGTGTGGCTCTGCCTGGCGCCTGACCCTCTGCTTCAACTTTGGCAGCACCACACTTGGCCCTGCCTGGCCTGCAGTCACATTGCCTACTCCGACGAGCACCACCCACCTGTGCTGCCTTCCCGGCCAGCTCTGCCACTGCACCTGGGTGGTCACTGGGTCAGCACGGGCTGCGAGACAAGGCCTGCTGTGTTGTTCCTCACTCGGCTCTTCACCTTCGATGACCACAACCGCTCCTGGGAAGGGCACTACCACCATTTCTCTGATCCCGCTTGCCGCCAGCCCACCTTCACCGTGTTTGCAACTGGCCACTACTCCGGAGGCACCCCATCCCCCAGGGTCCACGGTGGCACTGAACTGGTGTTTGAGGTGACACGGGCTTATGTGACCCCCATGAACCAGGTCACTACAGCCATACTCAACTTCTCCAAACCAAGCAGCTGTGGAGGCCCAGGGGTCTGGTCAGTAGGCATGGAGAGGGATGTCACAGCCACCAACGGATGCCTCCCATTGGGTATAAAGCTTCCACATATAGAGTATGAGCTGTTCAGAATGGAACAAGACCCCCATGGGCAAAGCCTGCTTTTCACTGGGCAGAGGCCCACAGACGGGTCCAGTCCCGACACTCCTGAGAAGCGCCCCACCTCCTTCCAGGCACCCCTGGTGCTCTGCAAGAGGCAGGTCCAAAGGACCCCCAGGCTCTCACAGCACAGGCTTCCAATGCAGAACCCCCCCACTGGGTGGGCACCAGATCTTCCTGTCATGCCACTCCCCATACTACTCCTGGTTCAAGGCCTGGCCCCCTTTGGGTTGCTATGACATCAGTCTTTGACTTCCAGGTGGCCCATTGGGCACTGTGTGGCCCTGCAGATGCCCATCTGGCTCTCTGCTGTTGTACTGCCGCAGGGGAAAGAATAGCCTTCTCCACTGCTCTGCTTTGGATGGACATATGGTTCAGCCTGTCTGTGCTTGAGTCCACGGAACTCAAGAGTACTGCAAAGCCAGGGGTCCCAGACCACAGGCCTGGATGTGGCTGCAAAATCTGCTGTTTCTAAAACCCTCCTGCTAGTTTTAATCCTGTCATTGTGGTTGGTGTTAGCCTCCTTGCCCTTCCCTGCCTGGGGTGTTGAGACAGGGAGGATGTCCTATGATGGTGTTCAAGGATGCTTCCTGCCGCTTGGCCAGGTTCTGGGTTGTGGTGTAGAGATCATTAATTTGAATTTAGCAATACAAACTCAGCCAGGGCATGAATTAAAGATGCCACTTGGGGCTTTCAGACTGTCTCAGTTCTCTGGCAGAGGGCTTGTCTCTCCGGGGGCAGTCAGCTTTCTTGAGTTCTGCCTGTTGGCGTCTTTGGAAACCTGCTTGTGCTTCTTGATCAGACCTCATGCTGGCAACACAGCACATGGGTAAATCCGGTCCCCCAGGGCCACAGAGCACGAAAAGAGGGCTCGATCTGAGCTGAGACCTTGGCCTTTCCCTGCAGCCTGTGGCCTCTAAGTCTCCTGCGCCCACGCATGGTGCCCACAAGCTCAGGGCTAGCCAAGCGGGGCGCAGTCCACGGAGGAAAGCGCATTTCTGCCTTTGGAAACTAATTAATACTAATGATGGCTGCAGCACGATGTGCTCTGTAATTAGCCCCGAATATTCTTCCAGAAGCCTCTTCTGTCGACAGACAGGGATGGGGAGGCCACCAGGCTACACAGCAACATCTGGAGGTAGGACCCAGCAAGCCTGACCTCCCCAAGTCCCCACACTGTGACACTAATATGTCAAGTTCTTGTCTGCTGGGGGCAGGCTGTCATCACGGTGGGGACCCTGCTCATAGGCCTAGGGCCTCATCTGCACACTGAGAGATTAACTGGAGTCCTGATGGGCTCAAGGGTTTTCAGGACTGTGAGCAACTTGTTCCCAGTTCCTTCCTCTTCCCACCATGCCTCTTATCGCAGATCTTGAACAATCCTATATGAGGCTAATGATGCATACAGAGGAAAGCCCTTGGCCTCCCTGAGACTGTGTGGGGGCTCAATCAGTCCAAGAAGATTGTTCTGACTTATTATCCAGTCTTCTCAAAAAAAAAAAAAAAGCACCAAGTTAATATTCTCTGTGGGTCTCAGACAGCTACAAGTGATCCTGGCATATTTACTAAAGTACAAGAAATAATTAGATTATTTACAGTCTTGGGCTACATGGCAGTGAGGAGGGAGCTAACATGTAGGGATGGCAGTAGGTGCCGAGAACACAGCCATGACTGAGCGGGCCTTCTATCAGAAGTTTGAAGCAGCCAAGCTGATGTTCAGCATCAAATTCAAATCTTTTAATAAAGTTAAACAGCCTGAAAAATGTTCTCATTGGTTATTAAAATCAACCAACGGGATTACAGTTCCAAAGAAAAGACACGTGCAGAAAATAAGGCAGAGATTGGTAAAGCCCAAGCCGCTGCGCCTCCCGCTGCCCTGCAACCTCGTCCCTCCACTGTGCCCACTGCTCAGAGCACTCCAGTTTTGGCTCCCGCTGTCAGCAGAGGTCAGCTGGAGCTGCCCACACCCTGGATGCACCTGCCTTTCTGGTTCTTGACCACACTGAGCGGGCCTGCAGGGGACCTTTGTCATATGTCCTCCTTCAGACCAGAAAAGAGCCAACCCTTTCCTATTCATTTAAGTCTCAGATAGAACCTCCTCAGGAAGGGCCACCATTGGTATGGTCCCCAAAGGGTCCTCCCTGTTGCTCTCTTCCCTCCATCGTTGGTACTGCCCCCAATGGACCACCTCCTTGCTCTCATCCATTCATCATTGGTACCGCCCCCAATGGACCACCTCTTTGCTCTCCTCCACCATTGGTACCGCCCCCAATGGACCACCTCTTTGCTCTCGTCCATCCACCATTGGTACCGCCCCCAATAAACCACCCCCTTGCTCTCATCCGCCCACCATTGTCACATGTTGATCAGTGTTTGAAAGGCTTTCGTTTTTTTCATGTTTATTCTCTGGCCCCTCTAGAGAATGCAACTCCCAGGGAACGGGCAGGGCCCCTCTCTGCATCTTCCCCATGAAGTCAGAAGTGCCTGGTGCCAGGTGGAAAGGACCTCAGCACATAGATGACTCTCAAGGGTACAGAAACTGGTGAAAGTCACAGGTCACACGTGCCATCCCTGGGTTGGAGAGACTGAATCAGAGATGGGGTTGGTCATCTGTACCTTCCACATGGACACATGGAGGCACAGAGAGGGGCTGGCTGACAGGAGGTCGGTCACACAGTAAGCAAAGTCTTGGGTCCAAATGGGGTGCAGCTGAACCCAGAAGCCAGAGATCAGGGTTTTCTGAAGGAAGTGTGGGGGGCTCCTTGCTGCAACAAGGAAGGTAATTTGGAACTGCTCGGCAAGTTGTGAACCACCTGATTAGGTATGCTGAGTCAGAGAGGAGCTTCTGCTGGCTGAGTTAGGCCCCTATGGAGACAACTGACAGAAGAAAGCTAAGAGCCCGTCTCTTTCGGTGAGGGGATTAGGCAGAGGCTGAGGCCTCAGAACCCCCAGGCCCTTCCACCCTTACGGAGACCGAAGAGTGCTCTCCTTAGCAGAAGGGAAGAGCCTACTCCTGGCTGTGAGCAAAAACAAAACAAAATTAATGTTCTCCACTGTATGTGCAGTCCCGCTGAAGGGGGGCAAAGCCCGTGGCGGTTGATAATTTCACAGTGTAAGTCCCGGGAGAGCAAAGGAGCTTTTTTTTTTCTTTTTAATAAAAAGTTTAAATTGTACACAGCTCTCGGAGGCCCATTAACTACCAGGCACTGCTTATCAGAAGTTATTTCTTTGCTTTTTTTTCTAAGCGAATGTGTTTAATCTCCCAGCGGTACCACCGTGCTGAGAAGCAGCCTGTGCCGGTGACGCGAGGCCGCTCGGTGTGTCCTCTCTTGGGAGCTAGGGTGACTCAGGCGCTGGCTGGAGCCTCTGACGCAGGTAGAATTGCATTAGGGCCCTGGCAGGGGCCGATGCACGGCCATTAGTGTCACTGATGAGGGCTGAGGCTGGGGGTTGTTACCACTTACAGAGGTGGGTTCTGGGCAGCAACCATCCACCTCCCTGCCTGCCCAGAGCTGGTCCCCCACTGCCACAGAAGACAGAAATCATCTGTGCACACTGAAGACCTCGCTCTTTGGTTGTCCTTCTTTCCCTGTAATCAGTGCTCAGCCCACGCCTTCCATAGCCTCGGCCCTTGCTCAGCTGGGCACACACCCCCATCTTCATCACGTATTTATCGGTAACATCCTGTTTATTCACGTCCTCTTTCAACCCAGCTTCAGAACAGCAGGCCTCCTGTCAGGTTCCCTGCTGGGCCTCCAGTAGGCAGTGTCACCTGGCCCAGTGGGAGTGTAGTAAACACTGGCTGTGTCCTGTTTGGGGGTCCCCGAATGCAGCTATTAAGTATCAACTACGCCCCCCTCACGCTGGCTTCAAGTACGTCTGCTTTGCTCTTTCTAATAAGAAGGGCAGAGCCAAACTCAAGACATGGGAACTGGAGGACACTCTGCTTTCTCTGGACAATTGTTTCTACGGTATCAAGAGTAAACCTGCCTCTGAAGAGGTCACGCCAACTTCTCATAACAAAACCCAAGGGTACTGAAAGGCCCTGAGCCCCATGAAGGAGGCATAAGCCAACCTTCCTTCAGTCTCACCCTCCAGCTCCTCAATGGTGGTGCCTGGCCGAGGACTTCAGGCCATCCATCCTGAGTTTATGTCCTAGAAAGAGCAACGGTCCAGACTCACTGAGGTGGGTCTCCTCCCAGAACTGGGGCACTTCCCTGGGGCATTTAGTAACGTACACAACTTCCTTCTGTATCCTTGTTATCTCTTTAATCTTTTAGACGGAGAAAGAAGGTGACAAACGAAGGTGGCCGCCCTGTCTGCTAAAACTAATTGTGCCGCTTTTATAAAGAAATGTCAAAGGCCTGAGGAGGAAGGCTGGCTCTCCAACTCTGAACTGAAGAGAGTCATGACCGTGTTCCTTTCCCTCCGCTCCTTTCAGAAATTCTGATAAATTATGGGGAAATGATTAAAAGGAACAGAGTCTCACGGCTAAATAAAAAAGGAGAATGTGGCCAGTAAGACTAAGCTGCAGTAGATGGGGGCTCATCCCTGGCAGGAGGCCTCGGAGAGTAGGAGCTCAGAGGGGGAGGCTCAAAGCATGCTCATGTACCACAGTCAGGGCTTAGAGAACTGGCCGCCTGGCCGGCTCAGGAGCCAACAGAGCAGAAGGGCTGGTGGGCACATCTGTGCAGTGTTTCTACGTCTGTAAAAGGGACGGAACCCTCTCAAGCCACTCCCCGACCCAGCAAAGAACCAAAAGTTCCGTCTCGGGATCTTTGGATTCAGCGACAGCCAGGAGCAGAGGATCATGCTCGAAAAAAACATGGGCTGTGACCAAAACCCTGTGTGCTAAAGGGTGAGCGCACAGGCTCCTGCTGTCCTTGGCTTCCACAGAGGCCGTAGCCAAGAACTGCCAGGCAGCAGATGTAAGATTAACCTCTTAAACACTGCACAGGTCTGCTAGACCACAAAAAGCACTGGGTTTGACCCTTAGCACCACAGAAAACAGACCAAACCCTACCTTTCTTTCCCCAGCTCCTCTGGTGGGGCGGGGAAGGTGGGGGAGTAACAACTATTATGTCTCTAGTGGGGGAAAAAATCTCTATCTGCTAAGCTTGTTGATGAGGCAGGAGGGGCAGAAGTTCAAGGCCAGCCTTTGCCACATAGTGAGCTGGAGATTACCCAAATACTACACATACTATAAACTCAAATGTTTATGCATATAGCCAACGGTACATGTGTACAGGTGTGTGTATTCAAGAATACACACACAAATACGTTGCTACTTACAAATAAGAACTGGGAAATAAAGAAATCTTGAAATTCTAATATGCAAGAGGCAGAGACAGGTAGAGTTCTATGAGTTTGAGACCACCTTAGTCTATATAAAGAGTTCCAGGTCAATCAGGGCTATATAGCAAGACCTATTTCAGAAAGAGAGAGAGAGAGAGAGAGAGAGAGAGAGAGAGAGAGAGAGAGAGAGAGAGAGAGAGAGAGAATATGCAGAAAAGTCAAAAGTTTGGATATTGAAGTCAAAAATTTTCCCAGAAATAAACACCAGAATTTGGGGTGGCATTAGATTTTGTAAGGAGACCATTAGAAGTGAAATGATGTCTTCAGAATTCTCACATGCACTTTCAGCCTTGTCTTTTATACCCAGAACAACTATCTCATCATGTGGGAGGATAGACTAGGGCAGTTTCAGGCATTTGTCCCCGAAAAATGGTGTTCCTCGTATGCCTTTCTCAGAGACCTGCTAAGGGATGTGCAAAACTAAAGGAAACAAAGTAAGAAGGATCCAGCTATTCCACTCCTTAATGTTTACCCAGAGAACTCCATCTCCTACCACAGGATACTTGCACATCCATGTTTCTGCTGCTCTATTTACTATAGCAAAGTAAGAGAACATGGACTCAATTTAGATGTCCATCGACAGACGAATGTGTAATAAAAACATGGTATACATATGCAATACTCAGCTATATAGAGAAATGAAATATGCGGGGAATGGATGGACTTGGGAAGCACAGTAAGGGGAAAGAAAAACCGTTGGCTCTCCCTCATGCGCAAATCCTAACCTAAACTGTAGTTTCAATTTATTTATGTGTGTGTTGCATAAGTTAACAAAGACGAACACACGAAGCTGTGACTTGGGAACAGCTCTCCGAACTGTACAGAAGCTGGCTGGCGAGAAAAACAGAGGTGTGGACTACAGTTTGAGAAGTGTTTTTGAACCCTGCTGGGCTCAGTTTTCATTTGTGAGTCATTAGAATAAAGTCTTTTGATTTAAAAAAAATATCATAAGGAAATAAATCAAAAGAGGAAAATGAAGAGTTAAAAAAGATATCTAGCCCAAAAGAGAGCAAAGGAGATCTAACGATGACGATGACAGCAAAGGAAGTGCCTGTGCAGCCGTCAGCACCGAGAAGGGGTGGGGATGAGGACCTCTAAAGCCATCGGTGGGAACAGTCACCGTGTGCAAGGACAGGGCTTGGCTCCGAACTCATTATCCGGGGAAAGCTAAACAAGAAAGACTCCAGTGAGAACCGTGGGCTGGGAGAGGTTAATCCGTGTTCCCAGCACAGCTGTCAGCAGTATTGTCAACCGTCAATACTCAGTCATGGAACAGGACACAGGGACGGCCGAGCTCTAGGGCATAATTCTGCGAAACGGAAGCTGCGCTTGGGACTCCTTGATTTTCATAGGGGGACGTCAGTCAATAATATCTCGGCCCAAAAGCCGTG